TACAACTTCTAGGGGGTTTCTCTCAGTGACGTCTACTCCACGAAAATTGCAGGAGAGGGAACTAAAAGCTCCTGACACTGGAATATGAACTCCATATATTTACCATCGTTATTCTAGAGAGTGGTTATATCATTCTTGGATAATTCCAAGATACACTGTCAAAGGCAAAGGTTGAGAACACTTTCTGGCTGTGACAGCTCAGAAACATAGTGTCTCCTGAAAAGTCTCCTATATGGCAGGCTAACTTCCCAATAGAGTTCATAGTGTTCGTGGCTGGGACTTTGGAAGGGACAAGAGTAGGAGAGCTCTGATTTCAGCGATGCATCAGTACATTGATATACTCACAAAGACACCATTGTTTGGAAGTTGTAGACGCTCTAAGGAGTGTAGCAGGTTAGGGGAAATAGGTAGTCGAGGCATGCCTTTGAGGACCATGCCTTACTCTGGTCCCTTCCTCTTCCTGTCTATCTTTCTGCTTCTTGTCTGCCTCTATGAAGTGAGCAGCTCCTTCACACATACAGCTCCCACTGCCGTGATACTCGGCACAGTTTCAGAAAAAGAAAATAAAATAACGAAAAGCATACAAACTGGAGTATTTGTTACTGAGTTCGGGTCTCTTTCTACTCTGCAGGCACTGTTCAACCCCAATGAATTACCAGGGAAGAAATACCCTGGAGCAGAGCTTTGTGGCTACATCCTTGCAGCTCCCCTGTGGACTAGCCACCTCCTACACCAGGCACCTCACCCTACACGTGAGCTCCAGCGGGGACCTGAAGGCATCTCCACACTAGACTCCTAATCCCCCCTCCTGGATATGGTCCCCATGAGAGACTGCGTGTCTACTTTTTGGCAGCTGCTATCAGCACTCATTTGCATCAGGCAGACGGAGGACCAGTTCAGTGCATCCTACACTCTCTGTCATCTCTTATCACATTAGTGCGATATCACATTAAGTCTATTAGAGTGCCGTGACAAAAAGGTGTGAGAGCACGCAGCACCTGTCACAGTAGTGATTTGAAATACTGGGTTTAACCAGCTTCAGGTGGCATTAGTGCCAGTAACTCATCCGTGCAGACTAAGTTCATTTATTTGTACCACATAAATGAAGGTGTCACAGACAGGCTATCATTAAAGACAACTTTCTCCTAACAGAGTTGTTGGAGTCAGGAATTTCTCGTATTAGAGACCCTGTTACGGTGCTTCTCCGCTGGGAGAGCTTACAGCTCCCCCCTTCACGATGTTGAGCCCACCAGTCGCCTGCACCACCACCACAGTCTGCGTGCCACTATCGACGTGCGTGAAGATAGATACTTTCACTGCTCGCACACGGGAATTTAAAGGCTTTCGTGTACTCTAGCTGCATCTGAACTTGGTTCCTGAACATGACTGGGGATTTGCTGGCGTGGCAGGAGGAATCTTTTCTTCCTGTTCACCACATCGTCAGCCTCTGGATTTCCCTGGGCCAAGGGAACAGAGAAAACTATGCCCTTCCCTGACGATTTAGCAGTGTCTGCTCTGACAGATGAGGGGATGAGTCAGCATAAAAGGAGTTAGCAGGTGAATGGACTGGGAAAGCCAATCATCTCTAGAGAACACAGTTGCTTATTGCATTGAGTAAAGGTCTCACTCATGGTGTGTGAGGATACGAAGCCTGTAAATTAAGAACTAAAAGTAGGCCTTTTAAATCTAAAAATAGGAGTGAGGATATGATGCTGCAAATCTGGATTTTGAACATTTTGGTTTGTAATCAATATCATTGTTTGATCCCTCAACAATAAAAGTCTGCCTCTATTTCTACACTGCATACTAAAATGCAGGGAAATACTAAGAAGTACCAAGTCCTCGAAGCTGGCAGGCTATTTAGCGAATAATGCCACTAATAATGATGACTACCAAGCTGGGATTACGGTGGACAACTCAAAATTGGAAAAATGGGAAAAATTGGAGGAAAAAAAACTTCACAAGATGCAGTCACAACTGAATGGAACCATAGGAGAAGAAGAGCCGAAACTCACCATTCTTGGCTTTCACTTGGCTATTCTGTGAGTGTGAAATGTTTAGAAGGAATGAAAAGTTATTTCCCAATGTTGCATTTCAGAAAAGTAATATTCTAGACAAGTTTGAAAAAAATAGATACATCCTCCAAACAAAACTCATATACCTCTCCATTCACTGTAGTCTTCTTTAGATGTATTATACACAATTTCAGATGTAGAGGTTTGGCAAAATTCTTCTTTGATGAACTGTCTCATCATCAATGGTGCCAGTGGCATGAGTCTAACATGTGATAAGATTCATTTTAATGTTCTAATGAAATGTTAAGATGCAGATAATTTATGAATGCAGTGTATGTCATAAATAGAGTTTTCATAGTCATATATCTATATGTTTTTAAGAGCTGAGTGACCCAACATCCACATATTGAGCCCCAGTAACCAATGTGGCTATCTGAGGCACAATCTTTGGAAATTAATGTCTTTTGACTTAGAGGAAGAGAGACGCCCCAAAAAAATCAGGGTGCTAAGTGAAATGAAGCAAAGTCAGCATTCACCAAGAACCACATCAACTCACACTTCAATCTTGGACTCCCAGCCTCTGGAAGTGGGTAAATGGATGATGTTTTTCAAGCCCCTAGTCTGTGGCATCCTGTTGTAGCAGCCAAAACTGACTCAGGCATATGCTACCTAATTCTGAGCTTTCTTATCAATCTCACTAATTTCTCCACACATTCTCCTAGTAGTCTTCACATATGATCCTGTGATTCTCCAGTATTTCTTGTGTATCCTTTCTTATGTAGCCTATAGATCTTATTTACCATTCAACCCCACTCTACTATGCAATTCCATCCAGCACAATACCAAATCATAACGGAATGAGTAAAACGTGTCGTTTTATGATCCCCAGGGAAAGCTTTTACACTTGACTCCTAAATATAGTACTTGCCATAGGCTTTTTATAGATCTTCTTTAAGTTAAGGAAGCTTTTCCTATTCCAAGTTCGTTGAGTTTTTCTAAAATTATAGATGCATATTGATTTGATTTTTAAAATGCCTTCATCTACACAGATAATCCTGTGATTTTCTCCTTCTATTCTATTAATGTAATGAATTACATTGCTTGATTTCTCCAGTCTTAAGTCAGTTTTACATTCCTGGAAAATGCCCAACCTGTTGTACTGGATTCTCTCTTTTGTAATTTGCAACGTTGGGCAGCACACTGGGTATTTTGGTTAGACATTTCATGACTCTATCAATGGCTGGAAAGTCACCTGTACATCAACTTCCTCATGGTGAGTGTATTGTGTGGTTAAAGGCATCTGTTGTTTAATCTAGTAAGAATCTTTTGTATGCTAGGCAAGTGTTCTACCCATGTCATATATTCTAAACATTTATTCTTTCAGTGCCTGGCTGGCCAACTGTCAGTACTATGGATCTGGAGTTTTATTTTGAGGATGTTTGAAATTACCCTTCAGTTTCTCTTAAAGATGGCAGGTTATATAGTTTTATACATCTGCTTTAGTCAGTTTGATCCCTTATATTTCCCCCACAATAACCATTCCACAACGCAATTTAAATCAATCGGAGTAAACTTGTTTTTGGGCTGGCTCTGCTTGATAGCTGCAGGCTAGCATTGTTCTCTCCCCCCCCTCTCTCTCTCTCTCCCTCTCTCTCTCTCTCTGTGTGTGTGTGTGTGTGTGTGTGCTCCTATGCCCACCTCTTCCCTAGTTCCAACCCAACAAGTATTGATGCCGTCAAAGGCCCCTTTCAAAAGAAATAGTTATCCTTAACTATATGATTTCAATCAATTATTATCTTGATTAATTTCTTTATTGTTACAGAGCCTTGCTCTGTAGCCCTGGGTAGCTGGGCATTCACTATAAACTGGGCTAGCCTAGAACTTGCCTCTGCTTCCCAAGTCCTGAGATTAAACACATGCACCACTACTCCTGGCCTATTTTTCACATTTTTAAACTGCCTCCAGCTCAATGTTCTTTGCTTCTCCGTCCAAAATTACTTGGATGTAAACTGTTATCCAATTCTCAGTGCTCAGATGAAATGTCTAGTTTGTAGTTTTTGGAAACCTGCTTCACGGGGGCTTAATGCTATAAATTTCCAAGTGTGGCTTTAGTTGCATCCCATATAGAAATGTACTTATTTATTTTCTAATTTTGGAATTCTTTTTCTCTGATATATGAGTTATCCATAACTACATTTTTTTCTAAACTTCTAGACATATGGGAACTTTGCATTATATTTTGGCATTGCTTTCTAGCTTAATTGTATCATAGTAAATATAATTTATATGTATAAATTATATATAAAAATTATATATAAAAGTTATATATATATGCATACACATATATCAAGACATCTGCCTTAAACTCTCCAAGGCTTGCTGGGGAAGACTGAATTAATTTACAAACATGCTCCACTCTTTGTATTTCCTCTGCAGTAGAATTGGGTATAATCATCCTTCCTGTCCCACTGGTGTCATTTGGAAATCATGATGTCTGATTTATCCAATAAATTGCAAGTAGAGAGAGTTCAGAACTCTCACTGTCCACTCTTATCCCAGACAGAGACAGTTTTGTCACTCTAAATCACGGAGTGATCAACATGTGGCGATGAGATCTCAGTGGCCCCTAGGCTCATGTCACTACCACATAGTTTGGATGCCTGTGGTGGGTGCTGGGAACTGAACTCAGGTCCTCTGAAAGAGCACCAAACCCTCTTAACCACTGATCCATCTCTCCAGCTGCTTGAATGTTTTTTTAATCCATATAAAGCTGTCAATATGAATCAGTCCAATTTATTTCTCTTTCATTTACTCTTCCCCTTTTTATCAAGTTCCAGTTCCATATTCCAAACTTGGTGGCATAAGTGCCACTACATAATCTCCTTTATAATTTTCCTTACCTTTTACCGTCCCATTCTGTGATCTGGAGTTAATTATTTTTATTGCTCCCTGCTGACTCTTAGTCTTCTAAAAGCCACCACCTCCTAAGTCTTAACGTTTTATTTATTACAAGTTCCCTGTCATGACAACCCCAATATTTGGAACCCCTAAATAGTCTCACTTGTTTCTTTGGCTTCATGCTCAGGAGACATGATATACTGATTGTTTCAGCCACATAGATTAATCCTCTTTGTATTGATTTTACAAAATTGCATGAAGAGAGAAATCCAGGTCCTTGTAGATGTTTGCTGTTTGGCTTCTGAGGTACCCAGAGACTCTGGGCACTTGAAGTGCCATTTTCACAAAGGATTTCTCTTCTCTTCTAGCCCTAAAGGGTCTCAACTCAAATCGCAAGTTGCTCATAGCACCTTTCTTCATTTATCAGATCCTGGAGGATAGTCTGCCCTGCCCAGTGCCAAGTTTGCCAAGAGCAGCACCATGGATCTTCCTGGTTCCATTATCTTCTTTATGAGTTCTCATTTTTTCTGTGGAGAAAAAAAATGATGGCAGAGTCAATGGATTAATAAAGATGCCTGAGGCAGTCAACTCAAAAGCAGCATTTATTTACATTCTCATCTCAGATGGATGCTTCCTTTCACATTTTTTGGTCCTGTTTTAGGCCCAATGATGTGGCTTAGCAGAAAGAGTGTTAGACAGAAGCTTCACACCTCAGATGGCCAGAAGCAGACAGAAGGGGATTGAATCCAATATGCACTTCAAGGCCAGCACCCCAATGGTGGTGCCCCTCACTAAGCCCACCCCTAAAGATTCCACTTCCTCCATGAATACTGTAGACTAGGACCCAAGTCTTTAGTCCAGATGTCCTTACGGGAACAAAGCCCAAACTGTAGCTAAGGATATCAACATTTTGGACTTCTTAATTCCCTTTCGTCATCTCAAGTCACAATACAGATTCTTTCTCATTGTTACAACAAAATTTCCAGACAAAAGCAATTTAAGGGAGAACAAGCTTATTTGGGGTACATAGTTCTGGTGGGATCTGGTCTACGTTGGAGGGGAAGTCATGGCAGCAGGCAGAGAAGGCTTGGTGGCAGGAGGAAGAAGCTGGAAGGTCAGCTTACATCCAGAGTCAGAAAGTGAAATGCAAATAGTGTGTGGAGCCCAACCATGATATCTCTAGCCCTTCCCATAATGACTCATCCTCCCACCCCCCAGCAAGGTTCCACCTCCTAAATTTCCCTAACTTCCCAAAGAGCAGCCCTGACTGTGACCAAGTGGTCAAGCCGGTGAATCTACAGTGAACCTTTCTCAATCAGACCACAGCAGTATCTCATCACTGAGGCATTAGTAATAGATGATACAGAAGGACGGAAACTACCATTTGTGAGCAACTAATAGATGCCATATGTTTATTCTGTGGCATCTCCTATGTTCATCCCTATTAAAGGTGTTTTGCAAGCTAGTTCTTTTATCCTTGGTTTTAAACATGAAAAGCCTGAGCTTCCCAGAGACTAAGGTCATGTTTGCTATCATATAGCAGAAGCAAAATTTGTATCACAAGTGTTTCTGACTGCAAAGACTGTGCTGACCTTCCATGGGCTTGCTTCAATTAACGTTAAGAAAGAGAAATCTTGGAGCTTGTGATATGCAAATAAGAAGATAACAACCTTGAGGGGTTGGGACACTAAGACTCCCTTGTCTTAGACTTCCTGTATTTGGAAACTATTACATAGCTCTTTGTGAAGAGTGCTTTTGAATTGCTTGAGTGTTTGTCAAACTGGTATTCCATTTTATATAGCATTATTTTAATGTTTTTATGATAAATGAAAAGATAAGGTAACAAGCCTAAAACATGGTCAAGCAGAGTCTCAACTTGTGCTACCCAATGAGCAGCCTGCCAACAATCTGACCATGTGATCCTCTGGTGTTGAGAAAGAGAGGACAGAGAGAAACTTGGCAAATCCTCCAGGAGCTTCTGTGGCACTTTGACACGCATGGCATCTGGGTCTGTGGCTCTTGATCCTCCACTTCAACAATGGTAGTTACCCATGTGTTTCTTTGAGCCACATGTGACAGACTGCATGCCACTCAAGCACAATAGGACAAGGGGACAGAAATAGAGAAGACATGGAACATTTTAATGCCTGCCATTCACAGCAGATAATGGGATGACGTAGAAGGTACCGCTCTGCTTTGGGACCCTCACTCTTCTTTCTTGCTAGACTCATCCGGCTAATGGTCAGTTCTTTTCAGAATCCTTGGAAGCCCATCTGCCACCTCGCTTGTGTATTGTGCCCACATCTGCCTGTGAGCAGGACCGTGTTCGTGGGGACTGACCCCTCCATGAATAAAAGTACAGGTGACCAAACCTGATCTTGAGCCTGGTGGGTGAATTGGAGATGGTAGACTGGGAAGAGCCAGGAGACAAATTCCTTTGCCTTTTTTTCAGGAAACATCTGAGTGTATATGGAGCAAGGATTATCTCCCCAGCTCCAAGACACTCCAGTCTGTGTGCACTGATGCCCTGCTCACACTGCACTCCCTACATGGGCTTCCATTTCATTGATTTTATACCTCAGTGAAGTCTTTAAGCGTGAGCTTCTCTTTCAGGCTCCTTTTTAGAACACTGAGGCAATGCATGTACCCTAGAATATAGAACATGGATGAAAGACAGTTAATTCTCATGCTTTAGCCCAGTGCTCCAGCACCAAAGGTTTGGGCATCACTGGCAAATTCTGAGAAACACACATTCTTGTGTTGTGAAATAATCTTTCTGTACAAGGTAAAGATTTGCCAAGGAGCCTTCTGATTGATTTAATAAAGAGCTGAATGGCCAATATCTAGGCAGGAAGAACTTAGGTGGGACTTCCGGAGAGAGAGAGAAGAGGTGATGAATATAGGTGCAGGAGAGACATGCAGAAGGAAAGGCAAAAGCCACGAGTCCCAAGGCAGCACACAGATTAATAGAAATGAGTTAATTTAAGTTATAAGAGCTATGTAGAAACAAGGCTAAGCTAAGGCAGAGCTTTCATAATTAATAATAAGTCTCTGTGTCATGATTTGGGGGGCTGGCAGTCCAGGAAAACCTGCTACATTCTTGTGTGTTACCTGCTCATAAACTCCAGGGATGGGACCCAACAATTTGAGTCTTGTCAAGTTCTAGGTGATTCTTTGCAGTTTTGCAAGTTTGAGAGCCACTGCTTCACAATGCCCATGAAAACAGTTAAAATATTTTCTCTATTTTTTTTTTCTGGAGATTGAACCCCTCACCATCACAGGAGCTCCACAAGAGCCCTTCCACTGAGCCAGCCCGCTCCACCCCTCCTTTTAGGTTTTTACATTGAGATAGGTATCTCTAAATTCCGAAGGCTGGCCTTGAGTTCACTCTAATCGGAAGACCTTCCTTGGATTTGCATCCTTCTGCCAACAACACCCTGCACTGCAGACCTTTACTACCAGGCTCAGCACAAACATTTTGTAGTGATGATAAGGTGAACAATGGTCCAATTCTTCAGCAATACTCACGGTGTTAACTGGATGGTAGGATCAAAGCATGTCTTGTAGTTACAACAAAGCATATTTTCATGGCGCCGGACTAACTGTAAAACGAAAGTTGTAACACATTAGCCGTGACTTCCGCTTTCATTTCTTGTCTTTTAAAAGCTATTCTTTCGTTCCCTTTTATTGAAGGAAGGAGAAAACCAAGACTGTGGTTTTCTCTCCCCTACGCCTGCCAGTCCCTCAACTACCTCCATTCCCATCTAGATCCACACCCTTTTTGTCTCTATTTTCTCAAACCATAGTTTTCTTTTATGTTATTTCTTTATGTTATTTCTTCATTAAACTCACACAGGCAACACCCACGCCTGTAGATGGGGGGTTCTTTTAGAACGGAGTGGCTCTACTATTGAACAGTTAAGAGCTGCTTAAGTCTTTCATCTCATCCTGCCTGTTGTTTCCACCCTTCCAGGTTGCTGTTTTAGGTGGAAATATTTTGTTTTTAGTAAAGCATTCTAAAATTAATTCTAGACTTCAGCAACTCAGCTGGAGAGCATAGCTCTCACCTGGGCCTCTGAAACCATCAAGGTTTTCCATGAGCATGCTCGTCTACAGACCCGACTGCAAGTTCAAATCACTAGGGGAACTTTAAGAACTCACCCATGCACTTAGCCCATCCTGAAGAAATTGATTTAGCCAGTGGGAAGATGGTTTCCCAGTATTAACTATTTCAGAATCCCTGAAGTGATATTCTAATGCGTGGCCTGGGACCACAAATGCTTTGAGGACAGCTCTAGCTCACTGTGTGTCTGAGTTTTGTTCCTTGACCTCATAAGCCCCAGGGCAAGCAAGGGCTGCTTCAGAAACCATGGCCTTTCAAAGGCAATTTAAAAAGACAGCCACAGAGCTCACCACCTTACATCAGAGAAAGAGAGAAAGTAAAACTATATTCTGCAAGTCAAGTCAAAGGGAAAATCTGAGTCTATTTAAAAGTCCTCTCGAATGCCACCTGCAACAGACACAGGACTTTGGGTTACGGAGAAAATGGTTTGCAGCCTTCCTATAGAATTTGGATCTCTTCCTTCTTCCCTGTCCCCAGCTGTATTCAGAGCAAACTCCTGTGTCTAATCACCAGAGTCCAAAGAGAGCTGCCTAGTGCTCTCTGAGGTAAGCGGCAGCTGGAGGACTCTGAGCGCATGCTCAGAACCTGAACTATCAGGCAGGATGTCTTCTCCAGGGACCTGAGCCAGCTCTGGGAAAGGCGCAAAGGAACGCAGGCTCTTGAGCCAGCACCCAAAGGCAAGATACTGCACCCCAGCCTCCACCTTCCTCCTGTAGTTGGTGAGTGCTGGAATTTCTGGTGTTTGAGTCTCACCTTCTATTCCCTTAGTGAAAATCCCATTATCTCAAACAGCTGTGTGTCAAGAAAAGACATGAATTCTGTGCCACAACAAAAGGATGGGATGCGTGTTTCTCTGAGTAGCCCTAGGCAAAAACCATTTTATCTCACTTTCTTCATTTATAATACAAAGACTTAACTTCCTGCTGAAAGGGATGGATGTCTACTTCAGGGTGGGAAAAGTTTGAAGATGGAAGCAAATCTCCGCAGAACAGAGTGAAATTTATAATTACATAGCATAAACACGTATTTAATATAGAAAATGCAAGCAGCCAGATCTCCCCCCAAAAAAGTGTGCAAATGTGACATTAAAATATTAGTTGAAATTGACCATTTGAAGATGAACAGATAAAGGGAATGGCAAAGAGGATGGTCGCGTGCCCGCCGCGTAAATCTTGAAATTGATTTCGGAAGCATCAGAGCTCACTACGAAAGAACTCCACTGTTTAATTAGGATGGCTTGGATCCAGAGTCTATATTTAGGATAAGCTGGAAATTATAGTGTAGAAATGAGAATCACCCAGCAAAAGTCTAAATAAGGGAGCGGGGACCCAGTGGAAGAAACGCCACAGCTTTCCTCAGCAAACTATAAAATATCTGAGCTTTTGTATTTCCCCAGACGCAAACCGAGTAATTCCTAAAGTCTTTACCTTTTCCTCTGAGGAATGTGTTTTGACTAAAATCCTCTGAATATTAACTTTTCTATTTGCCTTCACCCATGTCTCACACAGTTTCCCTCCATACCTGAAATCTATTGGAGTCTAGATGGATTTGGCATCCGACCCATAACACATCAGAAGACTCTCATTAAGATTCCAAATGTATAGAAACATATTTTATACCATTAATATTTTGGCTTCTTTTTGTAAGTGGTTGGCAGAAGATCCATGGCACCATATCATTAATTTCTTAAATATTCCTGTTTTCTTCTCATCATTGATGTATCATCAAATAAATTAGTTCAGACCCAAAATGTGACAGAGAGAAGCATATGATTGATTTTTTTTAAGTTCAGGATGTTTTTGAATGATTTCATACAACTTACCCTGGCTTGCCACCCCATACTTTTATAAGAGGAGCACAAGGCTACCTCTGCCCAGAACTGTGATTTTCAGATGTTGAGTAAGAATCTTTTACATTTTGCTCTTTTTTTTCATCCCCAGTGACCTGGCTCTGAACTGAAGTACGTTTGTCAGTAAGTTCACTAAACACAGTTTAAACAATCTAAATAATATACTCTGTTAAGAAACTGTCAGGAAAATGAGTCACCAGCTAACAGACCTTGTCAGAGAAGATACTGTAATGAACAGTGACCATATACAGTCAGGAAAACACTTGGAAGATATGGAGTTTCAAGAGCAGAATTTGAAATTTGTTTAAATGACAGCTACTTGCCTGGGCTGAAGGTCTAATTGTCAATTACAAGGAAGAAAATAGACTAAGTCCAATAGTTCTTAACCTAATTTAAACTAACATAAATTGAAGATACTGAGTACGGAGTTTGTGGATTAATTCCTCAGTCTACCACAATACAACCCCCTTGTGCTGTATCCCATGGTTCTGATGTCAGGTCTCTCATTCAGTTTACAATTCAGACTTCTAAAAACCTGACTGCCACATGTTCATGGATAGAAAGACCCAATTGACTTCACTGAGTTCCTTGCTGCTGCATTCATTCCAACTGCCTAGCAGCCGTACGACAGGGACCCTGACCAAGTCATTCATTCTTTGACACACTGTCAAGTTCTAATTGCATGCATTCTACAGACAAAGAAACTGAAGTGTGATTTGGCGACTTGGTGCCAGAGACCGAATGCAGATCCACACTTCCTGTGCAGTTGGGTTCCTGCACTGGGTCTCCATTGAGACCATTTTGGGAAAGTGAAGTCAACTGGTCCAGGCACTGTCTCATAGTCACATGAAAAAAAAGGAGGGGGCACTTCTTGGTGTCTTGGAAGTACTTCAAAAGCCAAGCTCATAATCATGGTTCTGTTATGTGGGGATAGCAGGGCAGCAATAAATACTGTGTGTTGCTATTATTGTGACTCTCTACCAAATTATTTGCTATCTGAAAGCAAACCTGGTGGTTGTGTTAGTACAAATTGAAAACCTCAAGTCACACACGCACACACACACACACACAGGATAACAATAAAGCAAGCTCTCTAGTGTCTTTTACCTAGTTAGTTAGAAAGGTGTGTAGGGTAGTGAATTCCACAAAGAAATGGAACCGGGCTGTTGGGAGGACAGCAATCACTCAAACACTACATGCCGATCTACATAACTGAGTGAGTAGAGAAGAGCCCTGGGGAAGAACCTTGTACATCAGCACCCACAGGCTGGCTGGAAGCCTGTCCTTTTGCGTTCGCAGTAGCCCTGTGTTTGACAGGAAAATGCTGAGAACTCCAAGAAAAGAAAGGCAAAGTCATTGCTAACACAGACTCCAGAAAAGGGAATGTTGTGCCCAGCACTGCCACCAGGTGGCCATTTCTGGAGATTTCCCAAGTCAAAAGCAGAAACCTCCTGGGAGGTTACTAACCATCAGAATGTAATCAACTCTCAGATCTAGTATCAGTTCACTGCTAAATGACACTGGAGGAGTCAATCAGCCAAGCCTAGGAGTTGGAATTTTAAAGGGAAAAAAGTAGCCCATTGTCTTCAGCAAATTAATAACAAGAAGGGGGAAAAAATGAACAGTGTTAGGAAGCAGGGAGAAGGGAAAATACTTACTTCAAAAGACACTTAAAGTGTACACCAGTAAAACATACCAATGTGTGGGGGGGGGCTCATCTGTATCCTTATTCCAGCAAGCAAACTGTAAAAATGGAAGTTTTTGAGGGACCTGGAGAAATGACTCAGTCAGTAAAGTGTTTACTGCACAAATATACCCTGAGTTCAGCTCGGCAGAGCCCACGTGAGGAAGCCCACATCTGCAATGCCTGTGCTGAGAAGGCAGAGACAGGAGGGTCCTGGATGTCACTGGCCAGACAGTCTAGCCTAATTGGTGAGCTCCAGATTCCCTGAGAGACCTTATCTTCAAAAATGAAATGATCAAGGAAGACATCCAACATTGACCTCTGGTATACACACATGGATGCACACATACACACCATGTACAGATGTACAAAGGAGAGTATATACACATGCATACACCATATGAGCCAAAAAGTTAAGACAATTAGTTGGGTCTGGATTTCTCATGATCATAGAAAAGTATTAATTTAGTTGGTAGTAATGCTGAAGTTTACCTTTAAGGGGACACTTTGACTAGGAGGACGACATCCATTGGTTGATGATCAGATAACAAATGCTTTAAAACATCTCACCAAGGAGGGTGGTTAAAAATAGATGGAAAGAGCCTGGGAGACTCTCACTGGAAAAGCTGGAGGATGGGTACCTGGAGACCTGCTATATGATTCCTCAGGCTCCTATAGTTGACCGTATTTCTAAAATATAAAGACTGATAACCTTCAGGGGAATTACCAGTGATTCTAAACTGAATATTACGATACATTAATATCTTTTCGCCCAGCAAGTGGGTATTTCCTGAACTTCTCGTATCACTTCATGCTCAGACACACGTATGGACCATATTGGCCGCTGCTATACATGCTTCAGTTTGCAGTATTCATCATTCATCAAATCTTACAAAAGAAAGGTGACTTTTGGAAGATTAATAGTTTAGTCAAGTCTATTTTTAAAAGGCTAATGGTATTGAGATTCAATT